TCATGGACCACCTAACCTGAAATTGCCCCACGATAATACATGTTCATATATAATGCAACCTATGACAATATAAATCTTTAACTCACTCAAGTGTTATGTGCATTCATAACAATTAGGACTACTTGTGATTTAGAATGAAAGAAAAGTAGACTTGAGTTGCGTTAACAGAAACAAAAAAGCACCATTAAATATAAAAATAATCCACCCATTTCTATCAGTTGTATTTATTTAATTTAATCATTTATTTAATTAAATAAAAATAACAATAGCTGTAGACATGTAAGCAGAGCATCATAGGCAATAAAAAACAAATAACAGTTCTCACTAACCAAGACGAGTCCAACCGCTGACCGCATAAAGCCATTGAAGGAATCCAGTCGCTAAGCTGTGAACGACACATCAACAATCAGCAGCTATGATTTAGCTTCTTGTGATCATATAATAGTCCTGGAGTTGTTTTCTTTCCACCGGTATCTGCAGCTTTTCTTTTGAGTAACTTGGTTTTACGCCAGTTTTTCATCAGTATTTTTAACATAATCCTTTGCTAAGCTAGCTGCAGCGTTGCACTTTAAGCTGACGTCACGGCAAATAAACGGTCGTTTGCGTGAAGTACCTCGCGGACCACTAAGGGGTGACCGCGGACCACCAGAGGTCCGGCAACCACAGTTTGAGAAAGACTGCTTTAGACCATTTTGAAGCATTTATGTTTTACATTTTAATGTTGTACCTCAAGGAATAGGAATTATTGCATTGGACAATTTTGCATGTATGAATGCAATTCTCTAAGCTGTTGAGCAACACGTTACAGTAATTTTGAGGCACTGTGTTCTGCATTTTAGTTTATTTGTTACATAATCAATGTCACATATTGTTTATGTGAGGATTTATTTGCATACAGTAAAACTTAGCAAGAATAAGAGGATTGTATTCCAAATGTTTGTGATTTCTGTCCCGTCATGGCTGAACTGATAAGAAAATTATTTTTATTATTTCCCACACAAAAAGGCAGATCACTGCAGAGATCGGAACGGAATAAACATTTTTTATTCCTTTGAGATTAGAGCTCATGAAATATCCATATAAACATTCTCACACAATCCATATTTACACATTTAGAAAAACATCTTGATCTGGTAGGATGAGCATCTCTTGCTTGTCTGTAACTTTGTCTGTTTCTTTTGTTTTCCAGTATGCAACAAATTTCGCTGACCATTTTTCTGATACTACAAAAGCTACATTTAATATTGAACATGTAGCCTTAAGCAGCTCTAAATCCAAAATCTGGAGCAAAACAGATAAATACTCTCCAGAACCTTAGTGACTGATTATACATATTGTTATAAAATCATTTTCTTAAGTAGTGGAGTTGAAGTTGCAGTTTGTAACTTTTTACACAAATTTTATTTTTCCATTTTTGTTGAAACTGTCACGATTTTGTGACAGTTTGATACGAGACAGATAATCTGTGAAAAAATCAGGCTCCTCCACCTTCTCCCTGAGCTAACTAAAAAGAACTAATCAGACAGGAGGCGGATCTTAGCGCTGTCAATCATTTTCAATGTGACGCTGCTCGCAACTCTTTTTTTCCCCACTGCCCCCCTATTGGTGAAGCTAAGAGCTAACAAATGCCAGGGGTTGTTAGTATGGCCACTGTTTTTCTGTAACTATAAATTGTTTCTTCTCCATTAGCACATTTAGCAGCATGTTCATGAGATTGATTAACAGCTCTAAGACCCGCCTGCTGGCTCTGATTGGTTGTTTTTCCACTCCTTCATACAAAAATAGCAGCTCAAGTAGGAGGAGAAACAACCAATCAGTGCCAGGAGGAGTGTCAAAGTGCTGTCAATCACAATCTCATGTGGGGCTGCTCATCCTCCCCCATTGCAGCTAGCATAACTTGTTGTGAATGCTAAATCTAGTTAGCATGGCAGCTGATGATGGCAGATAAACAGTTTTCCTGTAACGGTGAGTTGTTTCTCTGTCATTAGCACATTTAGCAGCACGTTCATGAGGATGATTGACATGTCTAAGACCCGCCTCCTGGCTCTGATTGGATAGTTTTCCATTTCTCCAGACAGCAGTAGCAGCTTGGGGAAGAGAAGGAGATACATTTTTTCACAGATAATCTGTCTCATAACAAACTGTCACAACATGGTGACAGATTTAACAAATGCGTCAAAATTATATTTTTTAAATAAAATAAAAGTGCATGAGGTGCAGCTTTAAGAGCTCATCACACAGTCTGGATGTTATGTTTCAGCTCAGGGCCCAGCATGGCCTCCAGGTTTTCTATCTTCATCGCCTCTACATCTCTGGAGCTGGACAGGCTGGCGGCCCGGGTGATTTTGGTGAGCGTTTCCTTGTACGGCGGCGGCAGGTAAACCATGACGAAGACGCCTTCCGATCCGTCAGAACTGGTGCTGGTGTGGCGCTCGGCGTTCCTGGTCAGGGAGGCTAGAAACTCTGCGTTGGCGTCTGCGTCCTGGACGTCCAGGGCGATTATGTTGGCCAGGCTAAGTTTGTGGCGGAACCAGCGTTGATAGACCAGACCAGCCAGGAGAGCCAGCAGGAAAACTGAGACGATCGGGAGACAAATGTACAACGCCAGCTCTGAGCCTCTGTCCTCTTCTAACCCCACATCAGGCCAGGTGTTGATCTGAAGATCAGCAAGAAAGATTAAGATTTTAAAAACTTGATTTTCTTACATTATCAGGTATAGAGAGAATGGTATCTGCAAAGTAATACATGAAAACAAGTAATAATTTCACTGAATTTCTGCTTTTAAAACCTGAACAAAATGATTAGAACCCAGATTAGAGTACCCAGAAATATTACTCGAGTAAAAGTAGCTCTGCTTCAACATATTTTTACACAGGTAGAAGTAAAAAGTAGTCATTCAAGAAGTTCCTCAAGTAAGAGTAAAAAAGTATTTGGTAAAAAGTCCAGTCAAGTACTGAGTAACTGATTATCAATAATTTTACATTTAAAATGTACATAATCAGATTAACCGAAATATAAAGTTAAGTGAAAATTTTGGTACTTTAAGGATGAAAATGACAAAAATTGATATAACAAATAAATAACAAATTTAGGCAAAAGAAAATATTTCCAAACCAGTTTCTTTAGATTAAAAACTTATGAAACTTTAACAAAAACGTCTACTTTTTACTTTTACTTGAGTAAAATATGTTGAAGTAGTGGTACTCTTACTTGAGTATAATTTTGGCTACTCTACCCACCTCTGCTCGTAAGTTAGTTTTATGTAATTTCAAGTGTACAAAGATACTTAAACTAGAAACTAGACTAAAAATACTTGGTAATATCTTGTGTTTTTGCAGTGAACTTTAAAATGCTACTCTGTATTGTTGTTATAATAATTATTCAGTTATGATGTAACGTCACACACCTGCTGCTCCTGTGTTGGAAGCCGACCTGTCTTCCAGCCGTCCAGCCCATCGCCTGCTGGTCCAAACCTCATCCAGCTGCTGTCCAGCAGCGTCCGGGTCATGGTCAGCTGCTGCTGGAGTGGATGAATGATGGATGGATGGATGCAGAGGGGCCGTTTGCAGCAGCAGAATATGTGTCTGCAGAGAAAGCTGCACTGAGTTAAGGATGAGATGAGCGTGTTTCTGTCCAGCTGTGGTGGGAGGGGCCAGAGGTTAAGCAGCTGCTCACATGCTTACACATGCAGCGGAGGAACTGCCCAGTGATGGGATTATCTTTGTTTTGTCTGCCCTTCATCACAGTAACTGGAAAGCCTGGTGAGAGAAAAGGGAGTGGCTTGTCTTAAACCTCAGTCACGTGGAGTAAACGATAGTAAAATGACACAATAGTAACCTCGAGACCTCCGCAGCATGTGTGTTTTACAGACACATCGTGGTAAGGAAAGTCTCCCAAACGTCTGAGCGAGAAATTGGTCTGAAGCAACGTTTCACGACAAAACAATGAACAACTCGGTGCGTTTTGAGTTATTCACAGATTCTGAAAGAGTCTAACCTTTCCATTGACGTCAAACACATGGAAATAAAAAAACAGTTAATTTGTTAACATTTTAAGTCTATTTGTAACCAGACTTGACTTGCTTTGGAAGAAATAAAAATCCTCTTCTGCACCATTACATATAAAAGTTATCCACCTAGTTCTATAAGTTGTATTTATTTCCTGATTAAACCATTTTAAATTAAAAATAACAATAGCTGTTGTCGTGCAAGCAGAGCATTTTTAGTAAGAAAAGTCATAAAAAGCAAAGAACGGTTCTTACTAACTGAGACTTGAGTCCTACCGTTCAGGAGCCGTTCAAAAGAATCAAATCGCTAGTGAATGTTTTTGATGAGGCAATAACATAAATTGATGCAAAGCTAAAAAAAAAAAAAAAGTTGATTTTACATAATATTGTCTCTTTAAATACAGAATAAAAGTGAGAAAAAAAATCCAAAAGTCATTGTTTCTTTAAATATTTTGTAGCATTGTGTGTTGGTTTATAAAGGCCAAAAGCAAACACTGTTTGGAGAAGTCATGGCATGGAAATGTTTGGAAAACCCTGAGCTAGAGAACAAGGACATATAAAAACAAGATAAATATTTTCTTCTCCGTGTGGGAATAAAATCAAATAGCGTCAGGAAAGCAGTGGAAAGATAAATCACATCTCTTAAATGTGTCACCTGAAGGCAAATTTTTCATAAAGAAAACAAAATGGGGTCTAAAATGCAGCTTTGCGGGACTCCACAAGTAATGAATTCTGACCAGAATCGTCTTGTTGATAATCAGAACCCAAAACACAATGGAAACATGGTTTAAGCATCATTTAGGTGTTTAAAGCCAAACTGAAGCATTTTATTAATGCATTTGTCCTAAAAAAAAATGTCACAAGGTCCTTTAGTTGCAGGTCAAACCCTTTTGCTCAACCTTTTCAGATTTATTTATTTTTTTGATTGAGATTCTGACGTCCACCACTAGACGGCGATAGTGCACAACAGACGTTTGAAAGGCTCCACCCGTGACGTCAGTCAAGGTGTTTTACAGGTTAATGAGCCATCAGTCTTTTTACTACACACGCCTGAGAACTAGTCGGAACTCAGACTCATTTCTGCTGACGGGACGTTTGACAGGAAATCGACTTAAAAATAGCTCCGATGTGAAATCACGGAATTGTTGAGGCTTTTGATCCTTTTTGCCAAATGGAAGCTGAGGTTTAATTCGTTTAGTTCTGGCAGCCAGTCGCTGAGGAGGAAGTCCAACCTGACGGTCAATCAGAACCCTTCAAAGGCCTCAGCCATGCTGAAGAATGGTGCGTTCACGGCCCTGATTCTCATCATCTGCGGCCATTTTTCTGACGCCGGTAAGAAGATTTCCTTGACCGTTTTTAAAAATGGATTATGAGAAATATAGAACGTGACTGTAATATATCTAATATTAGAGGAAAATATTGTAAAGATGTACCATAAAACAACTGACATACACGAACTGATAAGGAAATGATTGTTTCTTTGCTGTTTTAATATCTCGTTTCTATTTCAAAGTGGTTGATAAAATGCACCAAAGGAAAATCCCGAATGAAAAACTGAATATCCATTGAAAACTTAGCCATCAAATTAACTTATTTAATTTTTTTTAACAAAATAAGTGGATTTCTGGTCTTTCGTTCTGAAGAAATGACAAAATATAAATAACACAAATTAACTTGATTAAGGTATTTAAAGTAAAATCTGAAAACTTTACGGAAAACCGAGAAAATCATTTTTTTTAATGTTGAGGTAAATGTCTCATCTGTTCAGTTGAAGAAGCTGTGAATCAAAACCTTTTTGTTGTGCAAGGCTGTAAAGTGGCCATTGTGTGAGATGTTGTCACCTGAAAGTAATCAGGGCTGACCTGTTTGACATAAGGTGTGGAAATACCTTTTAGTTCTTTTTATGTTAACTCTTACCCAACCTGCTTGAATGCAGCTACGCTACAAATTGTACTTTTCCACCGGTTAGATTGGGGAAATCTGCTTAAGTACTTTAAATTTGATATCAACTTAGTTATAATTTAATTCACAATAAATCTGCTTTTTTTTTGGTTTGTTTTTTACTTCCCTAAAACTGGAGTATGTAGCTTTTGTAAATAAGTTTTGGTAAATAATAAATAAATTATTTTTACACATTTGTTGAAACTGTCACCATTTTGTCACAGTATAATCTGGGAAAAAAGTGAGCTCTTCTTCCTTCTCCCAGTTCTAACTAGAAACAAGTAATCAGAGCCAGGAGTAGGTCTGTAGCGATACACTAATCTCACAATACAATATTCTGCTCACAATACGATGTATATCACGATATTCAGCAAACAATTTGATACGATTTGATACATTTTTAAGGTTTCCTGAAAGGCTTTGGTGGGGCAGAGTGATTTTGGCGACATTGTGTGACTGTTCCATAGACTTGGATTGAATTAATTGAACTGATGATAATACTGGTGTAATAAATGTTGTTTTTGTTACACGTTTGCTTTGTTTAAATGTTAATTGTGTAGCTTTGTGTATTTGGTTATGCAGGAAAGGAACCTTTTTCGTCTTATTCGCTTAGATAATGTAGTTTATTTCATTTCATTATTTAATTAATTGTAACTGGTTGTTTCATTACATGTCATTTCTAATGTACATGTCCATCTGGGAAAAAATGTCATGTGTGATAGCTGTCATTTAATTCATGTGGATTTAACATAAAACTCAAAGTAGGATTTAATGTATCGACACTCACGGATGAAAAATTTATACTTTCTGAGGAAAAAAAAAATATCAATAAATATAGATAGAATTGATCAAATTACACAGCCCTGGCCAGGAGGCGGGTTTTATCGCTGTCAATCACAATCTTATGTGGCGCCGCTCATTCTCTCTCCTTTACTCTGTTGTGTAGCAGCATGTTGTGAATGCTAAGGCTAGTTAGCATGGCCGCTGATGACGGCAGATAAACAGTTTTTACTGTAACGGAAAGTTGTTTCTCCACCATTGGAACATTTAGCAGTGAGAACATGAGGTTGATTGACAGCACTAAGACCCTCCTCTTTGCTCTGATTGGTTGTTTTTGCTGCATTTGAGCGGTGCATTTCTTCAGATGGCAATAGCAGCTCAGGGAGGAAGTGGAGGAGATTGATATTTTCACAGACTATCTTTCTCACAGCAAACAGTAACGACATAGTGACAAAAATAAAATAAAAAATATATATATATTATATATATTTTTTATTTTTATTTTTTTTTCTTTAATAAAAGTTCTAAGCAATATCCTGAGCTTGAAATATCTCACGGTTCAATCCGTCATCCAAAACTAGAACGGATGTGGACCAACAACACACCCAACAAGAAACGACCATCGAAAGCGACTTAGTGGGCAGGGCGAGTATCCAGAGCAGAGAAGCTGTTCAAAGCTGAAAATGGCTCAGCAGGGAAAAAACAATATTTGTTGTGCTCGCTCACTGAAGAGCGATTAAAGAAAGCCTCTGTTGAAAGATGAGCGGACATGAAGGGAACAAAGCAGAATGTGGCAGAAGAGGCTCCGGTTACATGAGACCAAACCGATGAGTTTGACCAGCATTCAAAACGGTTTGAGAGGAGAAAAAGCCCTGAACAACCCAGAGGTGAAGCATAGTAATAGATAAAACATTGGGAAAATAAAACCCATTATTTTTTAAATCAAATATACTGAAATTCTGGGACTTTGTAAAAGTCAAAACTGTAAAACCATCAATTTTCTCCCAATATTCAGAAAATGTTTTGTGACACAGAGGGGGGGGGGGGGGGGGGGGGTGTTGTTTTTAGTTTGGAGAAAAAAAAAAAAGGGGGGGGGGGGAAGTTGA